GCCGGCTGCTCTCGGGCCTCACGTCCCGCGAGGCCGTGGTCGCTGCCGCTGCCGCCGCCGCCGCTGCCGCCACCTCCCTTTCTGGCACCGCAGACACCACCCAGACCCAGCCAGGTCTTTCTTCTCTTTAATCCTCCCTTCTTTGCTCCGCCTCAGCCTGCCAGCCGCGCGGCTCGCTCTCGTGGCGGGAGGGAGGGGAAGGGAACAGAGGGGCCAAGCAGAGCCCTCCAGGCCTGGAGTTGGTCACTGACTGGAGGAAGGTGCCAAAGCTGACCTGGGCTCCAGCCTGCGAGCGGGTCGGGGGAGGGAGGCAGCCCAGTTTAGCCCAACCTCCACCAATCACAAGCCGCCCAGAGGCGTAGGCCGCCCGGAGAGGCTGAACCGAGTCGGCAGGAGGCGGGGATTGCGGAAAAGAAGAGCCAATAGAAGCAAAGGTTCCCCGCCCCTCCGCCTTGATGGACTGCCACGTTCGGACCAATGGGGGAATTCTCGCTTCGAAGAAAGCGGGATTTACACGCCGGGTTTGAGAGAGAGGCTGTGCGGAGGGGGAGGGGTCGAGGCTGGGCCGCGTGGAAGAACCTTGGCGGAGCAGAGCGGCCGGACGGTCTCCTTTGACCTCCGCTAGCAGTCACGTGGGCTGTCGGGGGCGGGGACGGAAAGGCTGGATAAGTTCCTTCCGGGTCAGTGACAGAAGCGTCAACTCCGTGGGCTAGTTCCTGGCATCTTGGTCTTCCCTGCATCTTCTTTTTCCCAGCGCAAGCTGATTGTGGTTTCGGCGATGAGCTCCCAGAAAGGGAACGTGGCTCGTTCCAGGCCTCAGAGGCACCAGAATACGTTTAGCTTCAAAAATGACAAGTTTGATAAGAGTGTTCAGACCAAGGTAGGAACCTGCCTGTGCACTAAATCTGAGTCCAGGAAGAAGTAGTGCAGTGGAGGGGAAAGAGGAAATGAGAGGAGTTGGCGAGGGCGAGTGTGGACCGCAGCCCAGAGTTAGTTTTGGCTGCAATGCAATCCTTTCTAAAATAATATTCCCACGCCCTTTCGTTGACCTGAATGTGTTGTCTGCTTGTAAATATTTTTGGCGGCTAACACTTAACTAATTGCGCCAAGAGTGAAGGGGACCCTCAGGAAACCGGAAATGCAGATGGGGAAACTGAGTCGTTGAATGCTCCCATCTGGATCACATAGTTGCGGTAGGAAAACGAGGATTATGGAACGAGTGTCTCTCTGAAATTTTGCACCAAGTTTATGCAACCACCATTTCTTTTTGGAAAACCCTAAGCTCATGGGTTTGTAGGGAGAATGTGAAGTATTAAGCGCTCTTAGCCACTGTCCTCACCAACGTAATGGGAATATCTGTTTCTCTTATAAGATGTTTTGAGGATCAAATTATTTGATTCAAGTAAAATGCTTGTTTTGTTGTTTATAAGTCATTTACCTCTTTAGTAGGATTTCTGTAAGCTGGAAGAAAATTCAGACTGTCTAAATAGCCGGAGGTCTTGGGTTGTATACAACTACTAATTTGCTGTAGGTATCTCTCCCTCCTTCCATAGCTGTATGGAGAGGAATAATTGAAGAGGAGAGCGTTGTGGGGGCCGCCATCACATCAGATAAACCTGATAATTCACATAAACTGGAGTTTAAATTTACTAGGTGTGTGGCTTGAGTTATTTAATATTTACTTTCTCTGAGCCTTACTTTGATCTCAAATGAGAAATCTACCAGGATTGTTCTGTTGTGAGGCCAAACTAAATGAGGTATGTAAATGGTCTGGATGGTAATAAATGTCCAAAATCTCTCAACATTGATTAAGAAAGCAAAGTAAACTGTTTATGGTAACCAGTGGTCTCCTTTTCCTCTTTCTGTCTTCACTAACTCGACAAATATGTAATGAGCACCTTCTGTGTGCAAGGCCCTATGCTCATGTGTATATGGTGTTAAAAAGAGTTGACTCTGCCTTCAAGAAGCTTATAGTTTTCTATAAGCAAGCACAAAGATATATAATTACAAATTATGATAAATTCTGATGAAGGGGAAAGATCGTTCAGTAAAGAAGAATAAGGAGAGATATTTTCATTTGCGTGCTCAGAAGGCCTCTCTTTTCCCTTAGTTAGATTCAGAAAGAAAACCTGGAGCAAAATTTGGGAAGACTTTCCTGTTTATGCCTATTATCAATAGGTAAAACAGAATAAAAAGCTGTGCTATTCCAAATAGATGTCTGTCTTGTCCTGTATTCTTACTCTAAGTTTTTGCACAAGCATTTAATTCTGATTGTTTTTCATGAGATGATAAAAAGCAGTTTTAATAAATATTTAGCCACAGTGTAGCTTACTGTACTTCTTGTAAATGTCAGAATTCTTGAACTTGTAATTCTTATACTAGCCCTTCTTCCTAGACTTCTTGTACTTGTTCTTTTCATTATGCATATACTTGGTGTTATCTAACAACCATGTCATTATGGTCTTAAATCTTTTCTTGGGTCTCAAGTTGAATCACTAAGTTTCATTTTGTTTATCATCTTATCATTAATGCCTTTGCCTTTTTTAAATCATGAGGAAGTCTTATTTGTCTGTTGGTAGGACCACCAGGTGCTTTATTGTTGGAGGTTCTGACAAAAACAGCAAGAAATATTTTATTGAGGAAAGATCATTAGGTTGATTGTTCATCTGTCTAATGGAGAACTAATAATTGACTGTGTTCCTAGCAGATTCTTGAACCAGCTATGTGTAGCTATCTAAGCCAAGATTTTGTCGGAAGCATCTGACCCTATCTTCATTCCTATGCTTTACACCAGAAAGCTGTTTGATTCAGTGACATGTAACAAAGAGGAGTGGTAGGAAGTGCATGGTTCTCTGTAACTCTCCTTAAAGAAGTGTAGTAACAATTAACTACTTGTACCTCATTATTTTGTGAGAGTCCTGCATGATAGTTCCCCTTCTCCTCCTCTGCCAAGCAGTTTGTCAGGACTTCACTGAAATTAGAAGTTGAATAAGGACTGATGTTTTATTGGGAAATTTGTCTAGAGAAAGCAGCCATTCCCAAAACGACACAGGTGATAGCCGTCTTCATACACTTGAGTATATTCTGGAAGGGGAGAGAAGCTTGTTCTGTGGCCTTCCAAATCGCCACACTTGGACCAAAGGGTCAAAGTAACAGAGTTAGGTTTCAGCTTAATATAAGGGAGTTGCTTAATAGTGAAGAACATACACTAGGATTTTGTAACCCCCCCTTCACTGGCATTATTTAAAAGAGGCCTCTATGGCCATTGGCCTTCTCTCATGACTTGCACAGGTGGGTGGAGGTGGGAATAGGTTTAAATCTCTTCTAATCATTTGGTACTAAAATGTTGATGGTATCAAGACGGGCTTGTGTCTCTTACTAGAAAGGCAGTGATGTGTAGTGAAAAGAACACTGGACTAAGAAAAAAGTGCCACATTTTAGCCCCAGTTCTGTCATTTATTTTGCTTTGTGATGTTAGGCAATTTACCTATAGCTTTGAATCTACAATACGGGGTTAATACTATTTCTTGTTTTACTTCCCTCTCAAGATTGCTGTGAGGATCATTACAAAAATATTTTTAAGAAATAGTGATATAGATATGAACTGCATAAAGCATATGGTAATTTATGTGGACTTGCAGTTGCTCAAAATCTAAAAAACTTAACTAGAAAAGAAATGCATACTGTTGAAGAATATTGAAACAATAGAGAAATGTATAAAAGTGAAAGTACCTTTTTCCAGTTCTGTTCCGCTTTGGGTATAGACACTTTTAACAATTTGATGTGTATGTTTTTAGACATCTATGCACAATATAATACATATGTAATAAAATATATTTTTTCTTTCTCATTCAGTAAAGTGGGTATGTCAGAACATAGAGATTAAGCCCATTCTTTTTAATGGCTGTATAATATTCTATAATATAAATGTAGAGTAACTTATTTAATTACTTTCCTATTGATAAATATTTGAGTTTTCAGTTTTTCACTATGACAAATAAAGCTGCAGTGAAATTCTTGTATTCACATATTTGTTGCACATCTGTTATCTGGTACCAAACATTGTGCTAGATGCCTGGGTATAGTGTTGAGCATAATATACAGCCATAGCTTTAATTGAATCTTACAGTTTGGTGGGCAAGGTAACAGACATTAATCAAATAATCTTTCAAGTACGTTAATACAAATGGCAGTAAGAGCTATCAAGGAAAAGTCTAAGGGAATGCCGCGAGTATCTAGCAGGAAGTCTTGATTAAGTTTGGAGGGTTAAAGAAGGCTTCCCTGAGATCTGAACGATAGCATTTAACTAAATGAAATGGGAAGAGCTTATATCATCTTCTTAAGGTTGCTATTTATTTTATATGTGTAGTCAGCATTGTTTTTACTAGAATTTCACCAAGTGTTAGAGCCCCAGGATCACATGATCTTTTCAGTAGGGCAGGAGTCAAGTTCATGGTTAAATTACTTTGGAAATACTGTATGCTAGATCTCACTTTTAGAAAGTCATAGTGTACATTAGCATAAAGCACTGAGATGTTTTGCAGTGTAAAAAAAGTTATTTAACCAAAACTTGCTTGACTGTGGTACCTTTCGGTTTACGTAATACCTGTTGAACTTGAACTAATTAGAGGGGAACACACTCAGTTTTGGAAACTCTAGTCTTTACCATGAAATGGAAAAGGAAAGGGAAAATATCGGCTATACTCTCTAAATAGTTTTGGAAATACAGTTTTGTTAATAATAGCTAATACCTCTGTACTTAAGTGTGTTAGCCACTATGCATACTTGATATACATTGTCTAATTTGATCTTCAAAATAACCCAAAGATAGATGCTATAATTATCTCATTCTGTATATTGGGAAATTAGGACTTAGAGTTGAATGATGTGCCCAAAGTTACACAATTAGCATGTGACTATTAATTGATTGGGTGAGGTCTGTGCTGGGAAACCTCAAAGGACAAGTAAATCAAAAGCCCCTTTTTTGTATGTGTGTGTTGTTTTTTGATACTGTATTTTTGGGTGAAATAGAAGCAATGTGACACCAGATTAGGTCGGATCAGAGATGAGCTTTATTACCATTTCCCCTAGACACTACCTGTTTGAAATGTTCCAGGAAAAGAGTCTCTCCGCACAAGGTGTGGCCCCCTGCTGTGTCACATATCACAGGTGTGGGCTGGTAGGAATGGGTCCCATCTAATCAGCCAGGGTTCTGTAGCAGAGGCGGGGCTCCTCTTGCTCACTTACGTGGAAGCAGATGCTAATATAGTCAGGTCCCTCAGCTGCTGGTTAGGTAGAAAGCTGTCTTAAGTTTAAGGTGGTGTGATTACATTTATACAGCAGAGCAGGATTCTGTGTTTACAAGCACCTTTATTCACAATAGCCAAAAACTGGAAAAAAAAAAAAACTCCACAATCCAAATATCCATCAACGTCAACAGGGGAATAGATAAGCAGTTTGTGTCAATCATACAATGGGATACAAATCTGCTATTAAAAAAAAACTGAACTACTGATAGATGTAAACGATGTGGATGAATCTCAAAAACATTGCGTGGAGGGAAAGAAACTAGGTGCTTCTTCCACGGATAGAGATCTCAGAGCAGTGGTTGCCTTGAATGGTGGGGGGATTGACTAGAAGGGGCTCACGAAAACTTTCCGGAGTGATGGAAACGTGATCACAAGAGTGAATACATTTATTGAAACTCATTGAATGGTGCATTTAAGATCTGTGCGTGACATGAATGTAAATGTTACCTCAATTAAAAATAGGTATCACAGCGGCCGGCCCAGTGGCGTAGTGGCTAAGTTCCCACGCTTTGCTTTGGGGGCCCAGGGTTCATGGGTTTGGATCCTGAACCCAGGCGCGTACCTACCCACA